GATAATTAATCGTTGTCTTTGTTATATATTATTAGTCCATTAAAAGTGATAACTCATAGCATCATGTCTTACCAAGCAGGTTGGACCAGCACGAACAAACACGTAAAGCAATAATGAACCTGCGATTGTTCATTAGTACGCGATTGTGAAATTTAATCGTAAAACTTGTTAACGTATAAAGGTCTTGTGTCTTAATGATTTTATTTTTTGTCTTCTAGGATACGATTGAATGAATTCATTTGATTATAAGATTTATTTGTTGTAATTAGAATATATTTTTATAAATATACGAAAAATTATTCAATCGCATCCTACGGGATGAAAAACGATATTGTTTTTTTCTTATGTATTCGTATTTGTATAATCGTGCACGATATACACGTTTATATCTATTTTTTAAATACATTTTAATACAATCGCGATGTTAAAAACCATTTGAGAAAATGAATATTACACGAAATATCGTTTAAATGTAGAATAACATTACGTTTTTTAATTAAATATCTTTCTTTTGTATTTTTTTTTTGATTATAGGGTGAGTCACATGTGAATAGATGATCAATCATCCTATCAGAATATTATCGTGATGCATAGTGAGTCATAAGAGTGTATTTGTACCCCCTCCCTAATTTTAAAGAATTATTATTTCTTTGTAACGCAATATTTCTAAATTATTAAACACAGAAACGTATTTTATAATTGTCAAATAATCTCAAAAGTATAATAAGATACAAAGGAAGGCCCACCAAATACTTGATTGACAAAAATAATAATTATATTTTTATTACATCTAATTATGAATTTATTATTACTATATAAAATGAAATAATCTGAAAATAGATATATACTTAGAAGAATTTAGAAATTTTGCATTGCAAGAAAATTTCGATGATTTTAAATTTATAATGAGAACAGGCACGAGAACGAATATTCCTGTAACTTCACTGTATGTATTTATGCATGTAGAATAAAACATGTAATGGGTTTTTTAATCGACGTGATCCGATTTGAAACGAGATTTAGAAAACGATAAAAAAAAAAAAAAGAAGAAAACAAAGAGATACAATTAACATTATGCGATCATAGTCTTTCTTTTATTGTTTAATATTTTAAGTGAAAATCGTGATTACCATTTACGAGTTTAACCACGACGTTTCTTTTTTTTATCGCGTTATAACTTTCCAACGCGTTCGTGCAAAAGAATAATTTCTTTTTTTCGATAATTTTTTCTTCTTGTTTCATTCGTCATTTGTAAACGATAAGCGATACGTGATCGTTCGGGAAACTTTATAAATCGAGTACTTGCTCACCTGACGATAGCTTGTACCAAATAAGTTCGAGTTTGGGCATCCAGTTGAGAGATATGTGGCAGAGCCATGTGATAAATGTGATCACCACCACGACGATTATTATGTCGAATGTTGTGACATTGCTGACAATAACGAATCGGATGATTTCCATTATAACTCGCACATTCCGTTGAAAAGCAAACGCTGATCGCTGACTTATCCGAGGCCCTGCAATTCTTAAACGTTTACAAATATTTTAATCAAATATCTTTTAATATAATAAATTACAATATACATAATATTATTAAAAAATATAAGATATAGGATAAATATTTTATTATATATTATAATATAGATATCTAATTAATTATTTTATATTTAATTAGTGCACTGTACCACCCCTCGTTTTATATTCGAAATAATTTACAAAAAATATATTTTCATATATGATTCTCACCTTGTTTTCACAAACCATTGACACTTGTTGCATCGGATGTAAGATATCGTAAAACATTTGATTTGGATGTTCACGATGAATTTCATTGGCACATTCAATACAAAGATAAAGTGGCGGTGGTGATTCGGTAGCAAATGTTATCGAAATTTTATGATCGTAACAAACCTTTCCTGCTTCGGCATTGCCAGCATTTGGACAAGAATCTCTTTGACAAACAAAAGGGGATAGATCATCTGCAAAAATTATATTTTATATTTTTACTGATCATATAACGAGAATAACCATAACATATAAAGAGAGAGAGAGAAAGAAAAATTTAACAATCAAAACTTACTTGCAAATTTAACTAAAACTGCTCGACGATCGAATAAATTAGGATTAAACGAAGGCCAATAGTAAAACAATAATTTAGCAGCTGATGCTCTTGCTGGAGCGGTGCCATAAGCGATCACGCATAATATGTCTTTAACTACGCCTGGTTTCAACGTCATTAAACATTCTAATAATTGACAATGATGTGCTAAAACCATAAGACAAATATATATATATCATGTTTATTTATTTTATCCTATTTCAAAGGTTTAAATAATTATGACAATAAGAAAGAACCTGGATTAGTGGAATATTGAAAAATCATCATTATTACTGCAGCGATCGATTGACTCGCAGAATTTTCATTACCATCTTCGGTTTTTCTTGCTAAAATATACAAAAAAAAATAAAGTAAAAAGAATATTATATTACCAATTCATAGAAACGTTTTAATTTAATTTGTTTGAATTTGATTAATAATATAATCGATCGAAAATACTTACTAATCGTAAATGGTAGAATATAAAAGCATAAATAATTAACGATATCTTGATGAAGTTCCATCGGTAGGACAGAAATAGAACTTGCAGCTAAATAAGGCATATTGTCGATCAGATCATGCTCGAGAAATGGTAAGAGACATGCCAAACATTGTAACAAAGCTTGTCCAAATGCTAAAAAAATAAGAAACAACAAGTATTAGTATAAGATTTTGTGTTAGGTCATTTTTTATCAATTTTTCTATATTCATCGGAACTTTTTTCCTGTTGCATTTTGTAATGTGTAAAAAAAACATGATGACCCTTTAATGACCTTGATCACCAAAAATGTAAAAAATGAATTATTATTACTAACGATTCGTAAGTGTAGGAAACTACTATTATCGATGTCGATAAATTGCATAATAGAAATCTACTATTTAAATATCTTCCTTTAGCCGAGACACCCTGTATAATAAATATAAGAAAACGAACGTACCTTGTAAACCAATATGGATCATTGGGATAACATCCATCAGCTGAGTTAAAGCATTATATAATTGTTTGTAATCCAAATTAGGGTAAAGAACCATGCGTTCGGAATCAAATTTTTGCGATTTGATCATTTCCAATGGTGCTTCTCTGACTTCTTTCAAGACAGCTATAATTAATATTAATAATATGATTTGTCAATAAAATAGAGTAATGATCGTAAAGTTAAATTGCCGATTACGTACACAACAAAGTTTGCGACAAGTGTTTGACGGTATTGGCCATGTCAGTGCCAGATGGAAGTGGTTGACTACCGTGAAGAAGTTTTTGATAATATTCATTTAAATTTGTTAATTTTAAAGTATCTATAAAGAAACACATTAAGTATTATAATTATTCTAAACAGAAAAAAGGAATAAGAAAATTCATTAGATATACTTTAAACGAACAAACAATACGCACACGCTGCTAATTTCGTCCCCATTGCGAATCTATTTCTTTTATTTTGTTTTTGCAACTATTTCATATAAATCTATCAATGAATTTCAAAATCGTTTGAATGAATAATTTTCTCGTTAAGAACTTTCCTTAGAAAAACAAAATACACAAAATTCATTCATAACAAAACGATGAATCGATTACATCACTGCACAAGAAAATATTTGATAATCCATTTAAACGAAGGAAACATTTGAGAAAATAATTTTCAATCGCGACAATTTAGTTTCCTTCATATTCACATATTTCTCGTCGATAGATTTCATATGACAGCATCATCAAAATAGGTTCATCTCAACGCACGCCTCAACAACGAATGAGTGCGCATATGCAGTATCGACCTGTTTTTAGGGAAGAAGAAGAAAAAGGAGGGTTGGTTTCACGATACTGCGCCTTCGCATCTTTCTTCGCATCCCTTTCGCTCTATCAGAAGCTGTGAAGGAAATAACTATGTACCTTAGATACTTCCAGATCAAACAATTAAGAATACGATTTTCTTGTTTACATATTTTCTAAATGTGTCAATAATTTTGATAGGAATTAAATTACAAAAATTAATACAATGTATTTTATAATACATTACACAATATAAAAAATAATAATAATAATAATAATATATTATAGAATAAATCATGCAATATATTATTATTAGAGAACGCTTTTCATACATAAGTTATATTTAATGTTAGATTAAGAAGATTTAATCGATGTAAAACGATAAATTTCGTGCAAATTGTGGAACGCGAAGAATCTTGTGACTTACAATTAGAATGAATTCTAGGTCGGTCTATGACGTATTATAACGATCGATATATTTTTAATACGATATAAGTACGTCAAAGAGAGTGATGAAGTCATTCTCAGAAATAAAAGCACTCCGTCAGACACGGAAGCACCTTTGACTGTTTAGCATTTGATCGATAGGATATAAAGCAGTGTTTCATACTATAAACAAAATGTATCATTTCTGGAAATATACAGAAACAAACAAACAAACAAAATCAAATCTTATCTGTGCGTAATCGAGCAAAATTTATCATCCAAATTTGTTATATTACATTATATCTAAATTGATCGAGTATTATTTCAAAACTGGAGGCTTCAAATAAGAATATTTTTTGATAGTAATATTATACATGATCTTTATTAATAAAAAAAAAGAAAAAAATATTTCCAATATCATCGATTTTTTATTATCACACGAAAAGGTGGAAATAGATGTCTTGAGGAGGGGTTTAAGGTTTAGAAGAAAGAAAGGCAGGTGACCGGATCGATTCTACAATACGATCGTGTATAAACCTATGTAAAAAGAGGAGCAAAAGGAGGAGAAGGATGAGAGAGGGAGAGAGAGAGTGACAGAGTGAGAAAGGTAAAGAGGAGGAATAGTTGCGTGAATAACGTGTGTTGAACGAACGTATTATACCTATAACAACCGCGAATACATGAGCGCATGCGTATTGGAAAAAGACAAGTTGCCTAGGACACTATGCGCCGATGATGGTGTACGAGGTGGTGGTGGTACAACGTTACGATACAATACGTCGTTGGGACGTACTATACGAAAAGAAAGAGGGTGCAAGGAATTGTGACGCCGTAGTCAGAGCAACCCGTCGAACAGCGGCGTATCGTGTAAGCAGTATTTACGGAGCAGACCGCGAGCTAAGGTTGTTCTATTTTTCGATTCGCTCTTTGATTTGTTCTCCGATCTACGTGTACAATTCTCGTAAGTGTGATATTTGCGATTAGAATGACAAATGTTGTTTATTCATATAAAAATAAAATAATTGCATTATTACTACGTAAAACTTCTATCGTGTTTAAATGAAGTTACCATCGAGTATATTTTCTATTATTATTAAAAAAAAAGTGAATACCATTTGGAATCTAAAATATCTTAGTATACCGTTGTAATCATAACGATTTATGTATATCGGTTGTGCATATATATAAAAGTGACTTTAGTTTTATCGACAATGTTAAAAACAGTTTGTCTTTACGGCTTTTTCCGAAGCAACAATTTACTACTATTCCAAGCCAACCAATCGATCGATCATAGCTGACCTCGTTAACGTAAAAATAGCCTTTTCGTTTATTGTATAGGAATTATATGTATATATGAAGTACGTATAATAGATAATATTATTTCATTTTTATTAGAATTCTTAAAACATTAGAATATGTAAAAGTGAACTTTGTGTAATAATAGTTTATCCATCCATTCCAGTTCATTCGGACAGCTTGAATTTTGCCATCGTAAATTGATTATCGGCACCCTCTCAACGACATCGAATACTTTCTGGTGGCGTTGAGATAATAAAAAGTAAACAGATGAATCAACTCCCGTATACAGGAGGGCAATATATATATATAGGGCTGTAAAGAACGAATAGGGAGAAACGGTGATGCGCGAAAGAAAGTACATTTCCTTTTTTTTTCTTCCCTTCTCTTCTTCCTCCTGCATACTATTCTCGCGCAACGTTATCCGCTTGTAGAGTTCCACCCTTCCTGAAACCCAGACGACGCTCTCTCTCTCTCTCTCTCTCTTTCTTTCGGAGATTTTCGCTCCTGTATATACGCAAACTCCGAGGGTCCATGTGATTTGATTACGTTGCTAATACGCACCGTATGCCACCCCTAATCGTTGGGACACGCACGCTCGCATCTCTACTCCCTCTACTGTTATGTGATCTTTTTTTTTTTCTTTTTTTTACAACCGTACCTACCGTCTAAATTGAATTACTAAAAAGTAAATTCATATCATTTAATAATAGACCATCATCGACACTATTCGAGAGATTATTCTTAAAGATCAATGATTTGTTAAACAATTTAAAACGATCTTAACATAAGTCTCTTATGAATCATACATATTATAATATTTAAGTCAGCCAATTACTCAGTCAATTGATAAACTTTCAAAGTCTTTTTACAGACGCATCGTTTGCATTCTCTCTTTCTTTTTTTTTTTTTTTTTTACATTAATTAGTATAACGTAATCTTTTAAGCGTCTTCCCTAATTAAAATTCCACGAGATAAATCTTGAGCATTTTACTTTAATGCGTTTACCGAACTCGACTCGAGTTCTCGACAAGATACAAACTATCGGCCAAGCTTAAGTCTTAAATCAGTGCTCGATAAATGAGCGACCTCATTATACGAAACCATCTGTCGACTGCATTCTTTACATCCTGTTACTCGAACGTACGTATTCGATTACGCAGCGAATCGATTGCACGTTAAAATGACGTTTAATCGACATTTTTGAACATTTTCTTACGGTTCATGTTGAATTTCTAGAAACGATCGTTCCAATTTCACGTGTCAGTTAGAAACAGGTATTAGTTTGGACAATCGTTATATATTAGAAACACGTTTTAAACTAACTCGGCACGCGGTAGCTACTACGCTACCCAACGTTAGAAAGAAAAAGGGAGAAATAGAAATAGAAAGAGAAAGAGAAATAGAAATAGAGAAAGAAAAGAGAGGGAAACGACTAACCGTCGAGTATATAGAACCTTTCGTTCGTGTAGGTAGATACAGTGGTAGTAGTGGCAGTGATCCTACGTGGAAGCATAAAACACAGTCGGAGTCCTTGCCGCAGCCTTGCGTTTTCTCCTTGAGGCTGAATTCTATTTAAATATACACGGCATGTAGAAGGAACAAAGTAGAGAAAGAGACAACTAAACGGAGAAGTGAGTTTCTCTTTCTCTTTCTTTCCCTCTCTCTCTCTCTTTCTCTCTCTTTCTCTTTTACTCGCTTATAATGCAGTTTATAATCTGTCTTTCTCTTTCAATTCCACTTTTTCTATACTTACAATGTTTTTTTTTTTCTTTGAAAAAATTTAATAAATTTTCCACGACATAGTAATATACGGACAGACAATTTGGAATAATAAAATCAGGAAGATAATTTTACAAATAATTTATTATAAATTCACGTCGTAATATTATGTTGATGGAATAAAATGAATAAATTTGTAGTATCGCATAGAACACGATTTAATTCAACTTTACGGAAGGGCATCGTGGCACAAGGATCACTGATAGTTAGGGACAAAGAAACCGAAATATATATATATATATATATATATACTTACGTGTCTCGTTTACCTTGGCGGTCGTTGTTCGCAAGTTCCTGTTCCCTCTCGAAGGTTTCGCTTTAGACGTGATCAATGCGATCATGAGTCAAACTTATCGGTTAATATTCTGATCTAAGAACGTACCGAAAAGATCTGAATCTGATCTTTTGAAAATTCTCACAGAGAGAGAGAGAGGGAGAGAGAGATGTTCATGCGAAAAAATGGAGTGTCTCTATTTTGGGAATCGGATTGGTGGCGGTGACGCGCATAACCACCACTGTAAAAATGTACACATGGCGGCTGATGCACTTTTCTTGCACGACCTTCGACTTGTTCGTTAACTTGAAGAAAAATAATGCTCGTCATCGTCGTTGTTGACACGCCGTGGACCGATATAACAAGAAGAGGACGAGAACGAACAAAGGAATCATGAATCAGACACACGTAGGCAGTTACTAATTTTCTCTACAGAATCATATCCCTATTCGTTTTTATAGACGGCTCAGAGAATAACTCGACCTCGATACAACACGGCTTCTAATATATCTACTCGTAGTATATTCATCGGATGACACAAACTTTTCTTCATTTCGTTAAAACTCTCTTCGTATTGACTTTACTTCGTATCCATATAAATTTGTGTTCGCAGATTCGATCGAATGAACATTTTTCCCATATAAAGAAGGGTGGGGGGAGGGGATTCGATTAAATTGTCAAATTTATATTTCGTCACAATTTCGTAATATCTTTTTTTTACAGATTTATGAACCAAAGAATAAAAAGAAGAAAGAAAGTAAAAGAAAGAGAAAGAAAAATAGAAATTATCGATCAGAGAAAGTGACAAATTTGTTTTTATTTCCTATTTTATCAAAATATCCTGAATTCGTTTGACGTGATCGAATCTCGAGTAGAAAAGATGCTCGTTGGCTAGTGGGTCGGTTGATAAAAAGAAAAAAGTGAGAGAGACCAAAAAAAAATAAGAGAAACATTGAACGAGTACTACCGGCATGGCCCTGTTGTACGAGAACGTGCGACCTCCGACAAGTCTTCGACTTCCCCGTACGTGACTCAGGATCTTAAGAATCGAGAATCTCGCGAAGGATGAGCGCCAAGATTTCACTTGGCGGTCGCAATGCGAGCGACCAGTCAACAGTGAACCATCGGACTGGTAAACCATCGACGGGACTACTTCTCGCAAGACCATCCTTTAAAAGACCCCCATCGTCGAGCAGTAAGTTATTTTTTCATCACCTTTACTATCACCCTTTACCTTCCCTTTTTATTCTCTCATTTTTTCCATCGAATTTCAAATAATTTTCTCGATTTTCTTTATAAACAAGTTATTAGTATTATTATTATTATTGTTATTGATATATCTATACGAAATTCGATATATTAAATCGCGAATTGATTAATTAAAATATGAATTATTCATAAAAATGATAATTCGGATTCTTATTAATACTTTTTCGAGATACAACGAATTTTTTGGCATTTATGATAACATATTTATTATAATCGTGACGATTTATTTTACACGTGTCCATTTTCTCATTACTCATACATTAATGCTCCGTTGCAAAATAACTCACGCAAATTGACCAAAATATTACGAAGTATTGCTTAGGTGTTGTAAAAAGAAAAAAAAAAAAGATCGAAAAAGAAGAAGAAGAATATTTCATCAAAGAAATACGAAATGAAAACTTTTCGTAATCGATTCGCAACCTGTCATCGGTCTTTCGAGTTAAACGATCCAATCGGAGCACACGTGCGATTTTCCCCCACCTAATATCGAATCAAGATTCATCGACTTTTATCCCTTTATTTCCTACTACCGAATCAGAATTACTCATTCAGTGTTGTAACTATCTACGAATACGTATTAAACGATGTCACGTCAAATTTTGCAATCAATTAACTGGATTAATGACACATACGTACGTATACACGAGCAGCACGCATACACACATTAAACGCGTGCGTGTAATAAACATATAAACGTTTACACGAATACCAAGAAATCTCGCGGAATCTCACGCTGTCATCGATATACGTATTTATATATATATATAGTTTCATTTGTAACATTATATACCATATACCTACACGTTGAAAGATTGAGAATATAAACAAAGAATGTGTTCATTAGCATTAGAGGTGAGTGGCATCGAGGAAAGAACAGTCAAACGACGAGCAACCGTCCCTAAAGAGGAAACATTGCCTGAAGGCTCCAACGTTAGGACGATAACGACTACGTTAGTGGACTGTGAAGACCAGAACGAGATGCCAGCCCTTACGTGTGCTTATACTACTGCCACTTTACCGAGGTTTAAGAAATTTCGACATGGCGGTAAGTTTTTAACAATTTTTCTTCCACGTTATATTCCCTTTTTATTTTTTTTAATTTCATTTCTTTTTCTAAACCATATAACATCGAGAAGAAATGAATATAATTTATTTTTGAATATATATATATATATTTATCAAAAAATAAATCAATATATTTATTACTTAACACTTATTAACATATATTTATTAAATGATATCAAGAGAAATTATAATATATATTTATTTGTTTTATACACGCATAAAAGAAAAATGCTTGAGTCAATAATGAAAATAATTTTCCATTGATTTCTTGTTAACACGTGAAACGGAATGTGCAAGGAATACGTAATCGATGGAATAATTCAGTAACGATTTTGATTTTAAACGTAAACTTATGTAAATAGTAAGCGAATTATCATCGACTATTTGACGTTCTATGTCTAATAAGAACTAATCGAATTACTCGTACGTTGAACGAGAACGATCGACTATGTTAATTTAACATTTATGAACGTAATATATTATTTTTTTGTTCTTTTCTTTTTTTCTTTACGTTCGTATGAATGCGCTAATTAAATTATATAAAAAAAAAAAAGAAAAAAACAAAAGATATATATTTCTCAAAAAGTTAATCTTAGAAATAATGACTTAATCAACTATATATAGTATAACATTGATACGCAATAGACAACATTCGTTGGTGATTTTTGTTTGTATGTATTAACGCGTCATTCTACGCAGATATAGCTACGATAAGTTTTCTTATCGACGAACCTTGCAACGTTGGATCGAAGCTAGTACGATGAAACGTGTTTACGCGCATGCGCTTTTAAAGGTTCGCATGTTTCGTTATCATCATCGACTCTATACAACGAACGCAAAAAAAAAAAATAGAAAGCTACGATAAAGTCTTGACATTTGGAATCTTTTCTAATTCACGATGATACTTCACAAATATTGATCTCATTATATCTTATTCGAGAATGAACATTTCAATGCACTTGTTTATATTCGACACTAACGCGAAAGGATTTTTCTATTCATCGCTTTTTAAACGTTTCTAACGTTGTTGGCAAACTTTTCCCTACTATGAGAAAAATATAAGATTAGTAGTTATAGATAAGCGATGGAAACTTTACGCAGAATCAACGAATTAGATCACGAATCGTATCTATTACTAGACATAAACATACAACACCATCCTCCGAAACCTTTGAATTTGTCTTCTCTCTCTCTCCTTCTAAATAGAATTTGAATAAAACCTTGATTTTATATTTTTCTGTCTAACATTTATAATTTAAAAGGTATATTAATATATTTGTATTACTTTTTGAAATTATTTCTCTTTTGTTTTCTTTCTAAATGAATTTTTTCGAATATACATATACCCCCCCGTGTGTATATTCTTTCAAATAATTTTCCCTATTCTTTTTGACTTCTAGACAAAATTCAATTAGACACGTAATCATTTTCTTCTTCATTTCAAACAGTTCGATACTTTGCTCTTGCACTAACATGCTTCTCGCTAAATCGTTAAGATCAGCTACGTCGGTTGGTGCATTGCAAGATGTCAATTGAGACAGTTCTAACAGGCGGTATAAACCTTTCGTGTACTAACTCAGGCACACACACAGACACACACATACATCTATAGACAGGTCGTATGTTTGCGCGCTCGCGGTCCTCTGTTTATCGCTCCTTCGAGCCGAACGATGTTCGCGTGTATGATGTCAGAGTCTATCTTTGGCAACAGAGTAGATGACCACGCACGAAAACTCGTGCACGCTCGCGCGCACAACAACTCCACCCCTAAAGCTCCCCCCTTTCCTCCTGGTCCACCCACCGAAACCCATCCAATCTTAGTTTTTCATATAAAATTATTATCATTGTCATCATGAACGTCATCAACGTTGTTTGTCATCGTTTAATCGATAAAAATTTTGTCTACAAATTTAACCGTATACGTAGATATATAATTATCTCGAAGTAGACCAAGATTACGAAATTTAATACGAAAATCATCGCGATTCATATTATTTTTTTGTGCTCTTTTTTTTCTTTTATCATTTTTATTGGAATATTCCTAAAGGAAAAACGTAAAAAAAAAAAAGAAATAATAATAGTATCCGCGTCGTTTCTTATCGATTGTACAGACAGATGCTCGGCGAAAAGTCGACGATCAAATAACTAATTGGATTCATATCCATATGAGTGTATTTGCCATCTGGTTGCTTCTTAAAAGAAGTCCTTTTGAATTATGTAAATGAATTAAGTAAGTAAGTAAGTAAATAAGTAAGTAAGTATGTGCGTGTATATATTATTTCTCAAGAACTCGGGCTAAGAACTTTGCACGCATATTTTTTTTTTCATTTTTCTCTACTTTTTTTTTTTTTTGTTCGTCGCTAAATAGAGATTATCAACGAATCAAGAAAATACAACGTATGCGTGTTGACGTATTAAAGAACAGCTGAAAAAATAATAGTGACCTAGCTTCTTCTTCTTCTTCCTCTCCTTCTACTTCTACTTCTTCTTCTTCTTTTAAAAATGATTTTTTTTGTGTCGACATGCTTAACTTACCATATTAAAAAGAATTCACGCAATTGAAATCTTTTCGATCGAATTATGGTTGTGTGGACAAAATTAAAAAATAAAACAAAAGGACAAATAAATAAGTAAAGAAAAGAATTCATTAAAACTGTGTGCTTTCGCATAAACGTTTTCTCGCATTAATGTTTAATGCCAAAGATTGCACTCGAAGATAGCACGGAAGAAAGTTTTCTCGTATCTCTGCCGAGCACGTCGTACTTTCTACTTTAAGAAAACGAAGAGTGTATACTTATATACTTACATACCGTATAGTAGAGACATACTCTCTCATTGCCAGTTATATCTATCTATTACTCTTGATTTTGATAACGACGGATAAAATAATACCCGTTACTTGTTTCTACCTCCACCATTATCAATGACCAAGTTTTCACGCGTTCGATCTATCGATGATTGGTTGCCGTTCGCTTTTATATAAGTAGACGAGTTACTTCATAACGATATTCATATTGTTTTTTATCATGAACTTTGTCATCGATAATTGTAAAAAATAATTATTATTAATAAAAAAAAAACAAAAATGAGAAATAATTATTATAAAAAAAAAAAGAAGGGGAAACCCTGTACGACACAACGAAGTATATGCGACGTGTAACGAGCGACTCGCGGTGACTCATCGCTCGGTTTCGTCGTGTGTATGTGTACGAGCACTTACGAGATCGCATGTATACGTGTGTGTTATGTGTATTTGTACGCTTATGCAGCGACCTCACATCGCGCGAGCGCAGCTATCGACAGTGCTGTAGCTATTCCCAAGACAATCCTGTTTCAATAACTTGAAAATATTACAAATTTTCGATAAGAGATTGCGTTTGATTTCGACTAAATCGTTTTTTGTTTTCTCTTATTTTTCTGGGTTTTTTTTTTTTTTTTTTTTTGTTCAACG